GCCTGATGTTGGATGGTGAGGAGCATGGGGTCAGATGTTGGGGTATCCAGGACTGAATGTGAAGTTGGAAGTTGGAGTGTCTGAGGCCAGTTTGCAAAGTTGGTTTCTGGGTCAAGGGGTCAGGTGTCTGGAAGTTGCTTTTTCATCTGCTTTTCTCCCCCAGGGAGAACGGGGGATGAAGGGAGCCTGTGGCCTTGATGGAGAGAAGGGAGACAAGGTACAGAGGTGATGGGGGTGTGGGGACTACGGGCCAGGGGCCTAAGGCTGACCCCTCTACCTGATGTCTGCAGGGAGAAGCTGGTCTCCCCGGCCGCCCTGGGCTATCCGGACGCAAAGGAGAGATGGCGAGTATGGGGCACACCCAGAATGAGGAGGGGACGGGTGGGCCAAGGCCAAGCTTATGTCTTCTTTTCTCCAGGGGGAGCCTGGTGTGCCGGGCCAGTCGGGGGCCCCTGGCAAGGAGGGCCTGATTGGTCCCAAGGTACAGGATCTCTTGACAATGGGCATGATCGGGGGTCAGGATGGGGCAGGGAACATCAGGGTAGGGTCGTGGTGGTTTAGAGTCAAGGAAGGTGCGGAATGTTGGGACATTGGGGGATGGAATGAGGCTGGTATTGAAGTGTCAGGGTGGGTTGGGGGTCACAGGGGAGAGTTAGGATGAAAGGATGGGAGGTAGGGCAGTGGGGTTACAGTGGGATTGGCGCCATGGGGATCATGGCCGGTAGGATCACAGGTGCTCGGGTCATGGAAGTTTGTGGGCATTGGGGCGGGGGCTTGTGGGAGTTCAGGGGTGTTCAGGAGCTGAGGGAGGTCAGGGCAGAGGATCTCTCATACTTCTTCTATTCCTAGGGTGACCGAGGCTTTGATGGGCAGACAGGACCCAAGGGTGACCAGGGCGAGAAAGGGGAGCGGGTAAGTCGAGTCAAAGTTATGGTGAATTAAGGAGAGTATGCTCTTTGGGAGTGGAGCCATCTTTGGGGGATCTGATCACTGACCCTGTCCTATCTCTCTCCAGGGGCCCCCGGGAATTGGGGGCTTCCCAGGTCCCAGGGGCAATGATGGCTCAAGTGGTCCTCCAGGGCCACCTGGGAGTGTTGGCCCCAAAGGCCCTGAAGGACTTCAGGGCCAGAAGGTAAGGAGCCCCAACTCTGACTCCTGACCCCTGAACCTCCCTACTCTTCCAACTTTGCTTACTTCTGACCCTGCAACCCATCCCCCAATCTCCCTGCCCAACCTCTGAAGCTGTGGTCACAACTTGCCTGGCTTGTGACCCCCATTGCCTCTGATCCTGCTCACTTGGTTCTTGTTTCTGACAGGGTGAGCGAGGTCCCCCTGGAGAGAGAGTGGTGGGTGCCCCTGGAGCCCCTGGGACCCCCGGCGAGAGAGGGGAACAAGTAAGTGGGGATTCCTGGGCTTGGGATAAGAGATTGGGGTGACCTCTGGAGTCTCTGAGACCGGAGGTCACAGCCTTGTCTCATCCGTTGCACATAGGGGCGGCCAGGGCCTCCTGGCCCCCGTGGTGAGAAGGGAGAAGCTGCCCTGACAGTGAGTGTGGGCTGGGGAAGTGGGGGGTGGGACCTTGCCTCCTGCACCCAACACCCTAACCCCCTGGGCCCTGGGCCCTGGGCCCCTGAAGTGATGCTATCCCTTCATGATCCCTGCATTATGTGCTCTTTGTCCTTTCTGTGGGTTCTTCATGGTCCTTGTGGTCTTGTGCTCCCAGGAGGATGACATTCGGGGCTTTGTGCGTCAGGAGATGAGTCAGCATTGCGGTGAGTAGGGCCCAGCCTGGAACCTCCTGGGTCCCATCTCCCCTCTACCCGAGCACCTCTAGGCAGCTCCCCAGAACTTATGGGGGCAAGCGGTCAAGGAGATGGGTGGAGATGGGTGGATACACAGGACACGCATGCTGCAGGACATACATGCTGACAGCACTTTCCCCAGTGGATGCCCAGCATGGCCATGTGTGGAGGGGATGAAGGTGGGAGCAGGGCTGGTCCTACAGGGTCTGACAGGGACCCAGGGGGGGCTGTGATGACCCCGAGGGGCATCAGAATGAAGTGCTGTCTCTTCCCATCTCTCTGTGTCTGCAACTGATTTCCTGCTATCTCCATGTCTGCCTGTTTCTGTCTATCTCTGTCTGTCCCTCTGTCTCTTGCCCTTTGTCGGCCTGTTCCCAACTTCTGTCCTCTCCTTTGTTTATTCTCCTCTGCCTTTCTTCCTCTCTCTCTCCTCTCTGTCTACCTCCCACCTTCTCTCTCCTGCTGTTTTCTCCGTATATCTCTACCCCACTGTGTGTGTGTGTCTCTCTCCATCTTCCCTTCTTTCTCTGTCTGTGTCTTGCTGTCTCTGTCATTGTCTCTCTCTGCCCCTCTGTCCCCTCCAGCCTGCCAAGGCCAGTTTATTGCATCTGGATCACGTGAGTAGTTTTCTGTTCCCAGAACTTTCTTTACCCTGGGCCCTGCCCTTCCTATCACCTGGGTCCTCTCAGCAGGGGGTTGGCTGGGGTGGCTGCTCATGATGACCCCAGGGCCCTGTGCCCCCTGCTTTTTGCTCCAGGACCCCTCCCTAGTTATGCTGCAGACACCGCTGGCCCCCAGCTCCACCCCGTGCCTGTGCTCCGGGTCTCTCACATAGAGGAGGAAGGTGAGGACAGCTGACACATGGGGCGTGTGTGTGAAGCATGGACACATGCATGGGTGCTCGTGAATGCACGGCACATGCCACGTATATAATACCACATGCAGGGCTCATGTATGAACACTCGGTGCACACACGGGGAGATCGGTGCTGCCCGCCCCGTGCCAGGGCCAGCAGCCACCCTGCTCACAGCACTGCCCACTCTGCCTGCAGGCCGGGTGCCCCCTGAGGACGACGAGTTCTCTGAATACTCTGAGTATTCCGTGGAGGAGTACCAGGATCCTGAGGCTCCTCGGGATAGTGGTGGTGAGAATGGGGCGCTGGGCCCAGAGCGATTCGGGTAGTGGCAGGCAGAGCTGATCCCTGTTGACCTCTCGCTGACCCCTAGTTCCTCTCTGATTCCCGCCACTACTGCTGACCTGACCACCATTGGCCCCAGACCCCTGTTCCCTGCCACTGGATGAGGGCTCCTGTACTGCTTATACCCTGCGCTGGTACCATCGGGTTGTGCCAGGCAGCATGGAGGCCTGTCACCCCTTTGTCTATGGTGGCTGCGGAGGGAACGCCAACCGTTTTGGGACCCGTGAGGCCTGTGAACGCCGCTGCCCACCCCGGGTGGTCCAGAGCCAGGGAACAGGTATGGCCTACTCCCTACCCACACAGGTGACTGGGTACTGAGCCTGTCCAGATCGGGTCCTGGGTGAGAAGTCCTTGGGTCAGGGTCCTAGATCAAAGGCGGGGGGACCTGGGAAAGACCCTCAGACCAGAGAACTAAGTACAGAACCCCAGCTGTGGAGCTGTGATCCCACTCCATGTTCCCTCCTTTAAAGACCTAAGTATGGATCCCTCTCTGAGGTCAGAACCCCCTTCCTGCAGTGGCCTCAGCTCACTCCGCATGGGTGCCTTTGCTGTGTCTCTCTGTGGCTTACATGTTGGGTAAGAAGGGCAGAGGGCTGATGCCAGTTTCCAACCTGTCCCCCCACCGCAGGTGCTGCCCAGAGCTGAGGCCCATATGATGAGCTGAAGTTCAGCGTTCCCTGGAGGAGTCGGGGTCTCACCAGAACCCTGCCGTCCCTCCCCTTGGTGCTAGAGGCCCGTGTGCACATGAGTGTGTGTGTGTGTGTCCGTTATTTCAGTGACTTGGTCCCGTGGGTCTAGTCTTCCCCCCTGTGGACAAACCCCCATTGTGGCTCCTGCCTGCCCGGCAGATGACTCACAATGGGGGGTGGCTGTGGGCAGTGAGCGGATGTGACTGGCGTCTGACCCGCCCTTTGACCCAAGCCTGTGATGACATGGTGCTGATTCTGGGGGCATTAAAGCTGCTGTTGTAAAAGGCTCCTGTTGTGACTATTTGGGATATGGGGTGTCGGTGGTAGGTTTTCCCTGGGAGATCAGGACTATCCCATCTGAGTACAGAGTCCTTCTGCCCAGCCCTGGTCACTGTCCTGTGATCCTTAGTCCCCAATGAATCCCCAGAAAGGAGCAGATAGCGTGTGTCCTCACTGCCCCCCAGGAGGGGATGAGTCATAGGTGGGGGCTGCCTCATGCCAGGAAACATGCCCAGCTCCCACCCCAGGGGACTAAGGAAGATAAATGGGCCCTGAAGTGGGGTAGAGGGTCAGACCACAGGACAGCATTGCCAGCCCCAGGCAGCCACGGCAGCCCCAACTTACCCCCAGAGGAGGCTGGTAGCGGTAAGACTGGAGTCGGGTTGGGATGGGAGGGTCTTAGGAGTTGAGCGGACCTGGGGTTTGGGTTAGTGGAGGTTTCTGGGCCTGGGGCCTCTGGGGTCTCTGGCTGCTTCTCTGCCTCCAGGACCCCCCACTCCTGCTCTTCTCTTTCCTGGATCAGCTACAAGCTCTCTTGCATAGCACCTCAGCCTCTCCTTTGTCCTATGTTTCTGTCTCTGAATCTTTGTTTCTATCATGCTGCCTATCTCTGGACAGTGTCTATCTCTTTCTGTCTCTGTCTTCTAGACTCCCTCTGTTTTGCTCTACCTCCACCTTGTTCATCTTTTTCCTCTCCCCCCTCTCTCCCCTCCTACCTGTCTCTCATCTCTCTCTGTCTCTCTTTGTCACTTGGTTTCTTTGTCTCTTTACCTTTGTCTTTCTCATTCTCTTCCTCCGTCTTTGTAGCTCGCTGGCCTTCTTCTCTGTCTGGCCGTGTCTTGATTTTCTCTGTCTCGTTCTGGCTCTCTTCTTGTTTCTTCCCCTGTCTCTGTCTCTATCCCAGCCTGGACCCTCTAATCTCTCTTGGTCTCTCCCTCTGTTTCTCTGCTCTTGCCATCTGTTTCTTGGCCATGAAGCGTAGTTGACCAGAGCCCTTGTTCTGAGCCTGTTTTCTCCTCACAGCCTGACCACATGATGACCAGGTGGGCTCTGCTGGTGCTGATGGTCCTGATGTTGGGCAGGGTCCTGGTTGTCCCGGCAACCCCTGTCCCAGCCTTCCGGCTCCTCCCTCAGACCTCTCCCCAGACCACTCCCTGCCCTGTGGCCTTGGAGAGCTCCTCAGCTACCACCACGGGCCCCTCAGCTGCCTGGGGCTACCCCAGCCCCGGCCCCCACCTTGGCCCGCGCATCACCCTCTCGCTGGATGTCCCCATCGGCCTCCTGCAGATCTTACTGGAGCAGGCCCGGACCAAGGCTGCCAGGGAGCAGGCCGCTGCCAACGCCCGCATCCTGGCGCATGTTGGCCGCCGCTGAGCCTGAGGGGAGGGGGTCACAATGATGGAGCCACCCTGGACAGGAAGACCTGGATGGCAGCAGAAGAGTTGGACAGTACTACATCTGGACAGAGTGCATCTGGACATCACCATATGGGGCCACTGCCATGTGGTGTCATATCACATCTGAGTAACCAACAGAGTCACGGTGTGTCTGGACAGCCTGGACGCTGCTATGTCAGGTCACTGCCATGTGAAGTCTTGCCATGCCTGTGTGCTCCACAGACTTACAATATGTCTGACAACTTGGACACTATCATGTAGGTCACTTAGTAGAAGAGCTTTGCCATGTCTGGGTGCCCCACAGTCACAGAGCAACTGGACACTGCCACATGTGGTCACCATCATGTTACTTTCAGTAACCTCAACACAGGAGCCCAGCACTGCATCTGAGACCAGTCCATCTAAGGCCCACAGGTCTGCAACCAGCCCCCTCCTGCCCCCAGTAGGTCCCCACACAGGGAAGTGCTGGGTGAGGGTCGCGTGCATGTTTTGTGCTCCATGAGGCAGCACCTATGCCAGATGGATGGATGGAGCTATCATTGGCATGTCCGGGCACAGGTGGCTGCACATGGAAAGTCTATGGCTGTGGCCGCCTTTCCTTGGGAGTGTGTGTACACGTATGTGGCTGGATCTCTGTGCACTGCCTGTTACAAGTGCCTGACAGCTGAGTGTGTGTGTGAGCAAGGCGAGGGCATGTGAGGGGGCCGGGAGGAGTGGATGCTTGTCCCCCAAGCCTGCATGAAGCATGCACAACACAGCCAGGCACTGACCTGCCCACACCCCTCCGTGCCCAGCTTCAGCTCTTGGACACATATAGCTCAGGGGAGATGGGGCTCAGTCTGCTGGGGCCCCAACCCAACTCTACCCCTTCCTCACTGAATTGTCCTGAGCAAAAGTGTTCACCTTTCTGAGCCTGTTTCCTCATCTTTTAAGCAGTGATGCCACCAAGCTTCTTGTGAGCATTGAATGACATAGTATACAAGAAGTTTCTGGCATGCAGGAGGTGCTCAATAAATGTAAAGTGATTAAAGAATGGGAGGGACGAGAATCATATAATCACATACACCCAGGCCCTGACACATGAGGGCTGAGTCATACCTGGCTTCTCTGCCCTTTCATCCACCCTCCACCCCCACCACCCTCCTTTTAACTGATCTGGTCCCTTGGTTTGGAAGGAGTAGGTTTTACCTTATTTCACACCCCAACTCCATTGCTGGGCTGGAGATGGGACTGACTTTCTGGGCAGCTTGGACAGGCTTGCCTGCGATGGGGCAGGCACTCTGGGCAGTGTAGACCACTTCAGCTGGAGATAGGGCAGGCACTGGCAGTGTGGGCAGCTTGCTGGAGAGAGAGTGGCTGCCTGCAGGGGGTGGGGGCACTGCCGGTGACCTCACAATTGTAAGCAGCCCTGGGGGGCGGGCCTAGGGCGGGCTGGAGAGGCGGGGCTGTAGGGCAAGCGCTGCTCTCTCTCAGAACTGGCAAGGGCGGGGTTACACCACTGGGGAGCTGCAGGGGGCGGTGGCTCTGGCCAGTTCGGTTGCAGGATGGACAGAGGCACTTTAGGAGGCAGCTCCCTGACGGACCCAGGGCAGGCGAGCAGCAGGCAGGGTAGGCACTGGGCAGCGTGGGGAGGGTGGAGGGTCTGGGAAAAGACCAGTGTGCAGTAGGGGTGGTGCTGGAGGGGGTGTGGGAGTGTGGGGGTCTCTCTGGTTATAGGGGTGCTCTGAGGGGCATCAGTCTGTCAGTGGCTCGCAGGAGGGGGCACGCTGATGCCTTGCAGGGGAGAGGGGGCCGGGCCAAGGTGGATCTATAAATAGTGTCTTCCTCCAGCCCAGGGGGAGGAACAGCCAGCTGGAGCTGCCTAAGGCCCTCCCACTCTGCCCTTTGCTGGTCTCCAAGGGGTCATATTTGTCCAGGTCTCCCCTCAGGAGTCTCACCAGTTTGGGAAGGTATGGAGGCTCATTTGGGAAGTTTTTTATAAGATGTGATTTTAGCCCTTAAGCCAGTATTTCTAGGGTGCCTACTGTATGCCCTGTGCTAGTCCTCAGCTTCTTAAACACCTACTGTGGACTCTGTTTTGGTCATGAGCCTCTCTGAGCCCTTTTTGTGTGCCCTGGCTCATCCTGATTCACTCTGAGTCCCTACTGTGTGCCCTATGCCAGGCTGGAATCAGGAAGTGTAGATCAGGGTTCACAAGGCTGCTTGGTCAGATGGCTCTAATACCCTCAAGTTGGAACTTCACATTCTCTGTGAGCTCTGCTGCAGGGAGACACTGGAGACCATCCTTTGTTGGAGATGGCCAGAGAACACTGGAATTCCTGAACCTCCCAGTGGCAGCAGGGGTGGGGGTGGAGTGGGGGTGGGATAAAAGGGAAGGGAGGTAGCAGAGAGTAGCAGGCCCTACTATACAGCCTGCCTGTCTCTGTGGACATGCCTAGGTGCAGGACTTGTTTGCTTCTGCGTGTGCATCTGTGTGAGTGCACATGTAGCTGTGCAGGTGTGTCTGTGTGCACGCAAATGCTTGTGGGTATGTGTGGCATGCACTGACACCCCTGTGTCTTTATGCTGCAAAGGGTGGTTGGCAGTTCTGCCAGGACTGGCCAGATGAGAAGAGTTTGAGCATTAAGAACTGAGGATTGAGGACTTTGGCCACCCTACAGCTTCTAGGAGGAGGGTGGAGGAGTCCAGCGATCAGTGAAGAGGATGCCATGGGAGCCAACCAGGGTCAGGCCAGCCAGGTTTATGGTGGGAGAGGCTGAGCAGGACATGCTCATACACAGGTGCACACTGACATCCTAGCACACTTCCCACGCCTGGGATGGGATAGCTGCTCACTTTGTGATGCCCTGAGGAGGGGAAAGCCATGAGTACCAGTTATTCTACTGGACATCTACTGATACTGAGGAAGCAGAAAGCCAAGAGAACATTTCAATGGAGGGAACCTCAAAATACAGTTGTGGAGATGGGAGGGGTGTAATAGTACAAGGTGTGGAAGGTGTCGTTTTGAAGGGCTGAGATTTGAGATGAGTCCATCCTGCACTGTGGGCTGGCTCTGTGGTCCTGGGTCCTTTTCCCCTTTCCAATCCTCAGTTCCCTACCTGAGAAATGGGGCCATGGGAGAGGAGATGGAGAATATCCTCAGAGCAGGTGTAGACCCTGGCCTTGGGGAGGGGACCCCAGGCTCTTCCTGATGTGCACCTGTGGGCTCCTAGCTGGATATAGGGATTGAGAGGCTGTGTTTGGGTTAGCCCAGGGTCAGACTGTTTAGGAAAGAGTGGGGGGTGCAGGCCACCGTGTTTCCTGAGAACTAGGCTCAGACTGTCTGGGCATGGGGATGGCTTCCCAAAGAAAGGCCTGATCCCTTGCCATGTCCTGGTTGCCCTCTACCCCAGCCCTTGACTAACATCCCAGGAGGACTGGGAAAGAGGAAAATGGGTAGGCCTGAGGAGGTGCTAAGCACAGTGTCTGTGGATATTGGAGGAGATAGACTTTGCAAAGAGTGCTGGGAGTTGGACAGGGTGTGGGTGTGTATCAGTGAGGTCTCTGAGATCAGGGTGGCCCCAAGATGGCCTTGGCCAGGAGACAGACAGGAGGGCTGGCTGTGTCAGGAACAGAATGAGTGGGTTTGGAGAAGTAGGGAGCATATGGGTGGTCACAAGGGGCACCCTGCTCATTAGGAGCCGCCCATGGGTGTACTCAGAGCTGCTGGGCATGAGGTGGAGAGAGGTGGTGGTGGACACTGCAGAGGGAGGATGAGGAAGGAGGAAGTGGCCGACCCTGTCTGGGGCAGAGCATTCCCAGGGTAGGCAGCTAGAGCTGGTTTCAGGGAGGGTTCAGGCGGGCTTCCAGCATGTGGACCTTCTGAAACTTCATTTCCTGTGAAGTGGGCAAGACATCTGTGTAAATCATCTTAAGTGTCCTTGCCAGGCTCTGAAGAGCTGGGTTGTAACTTGGAGGACTGACCCAAGGTGAGGCTGTGGAAGGGAGGGAGCCTATGCCTATAGCGCGTGGTCAGCCTTGTTCTCCATGCCCTGAACACCTGGCTCCTGGCTAAGAACACATTGGGCAGAGAGAACTTGAAGCTGCAGGGACCTTACCATGGATGTGGCAGAGGACATCGCTGGAGGGCAGTATGACCCAGGTTCAAGCAGTGTTGATGGGACTGGGGCAGAAAATGTACAAAGCTTGGGGAGGCGGGGACTGGGGAGACAGAGGAGGCAGCAGCCTGCAGGGGTCAGGGTGGGGCCAAAGACAAGAGAGTGTGCCAGGGGTTCCTGAACTTCTGTGTCTCTCCCTCACCCCTTGTCCCCACTGCATTTTCTTTCTTTCTTTTTTTTTTAAAGATGACCGGTAAGGGGATCTTAACCCTTGACTTGGTGTTGTCAGCACCACGCTCAGCCAGTGAGCGAACCGGCCATCCCTATGTGGGATCCGAACCCGGGGCCTTGGTGTTATCAGCACCGCACTCTCCCGAGTGAGCCACGGGCCGGCCCACCACTGCATTTTCAAAGACAGAAGGGAGATAAACAACATAATAAGTGACAACACTAATGTGTTTAAGAAAGGATTTCTCAGAGATAGACAAATTTAATCTATACCAGACTGAAGCGTGCATCCCATTTTCCTGAAGACAGAGGCTCATTTAAAAAATGTGTATATTCATGATTAAAATTTTAATTAGTAAAAATGAATTCCTGAAAAGAGAATTAAGATACCACCAGGTCTCAGTGAGTCCCCAAAGAACTTCGTTACAAGATACCCCGCATTTGCTCCAGGTGGACTGGGTTTCAGTCCGAGCTCCTCAACAGCCAAGGCAAAGAAACTATCGATTTTGAGATTTGTCCTGTGTCTTGCCCATGAGATAAAGGAGCTTTTCCAGCGTGATTGAGCAGGTCATCCCTGTGGACGCGTGAGAGTCTCGGACCTCAGAGCAGAGGAGGGCACCCAGCACAGTGCCAGGAGGGCACAGCGGGGTTG